GTGTGCAAGTCAGCTGTGAGCGACTATTCATGGATATGGGAACTGTATTGGGGGTACTATAAATATCATCAGATTAGATCATGTCGGTAGCTGCACCGCCCTGTAAGTAAAGTACAGATTTACACTTTAAAAGAGTGAATTTTATGGTACATAAATTATATATCAGTAAAGGTGCTCAGAATAAGCATTGACTTTTCCTTTAATTTGGTCATTTAACATGCCACGATTGTTTTAAAGGTAAATCTAGATAATGATTTGAAACAAAAGCAAGATATTATTTTTTCTAACATATAAGTTGCAGTATTAATATTACCCTTTAGCTCTGAAATTATCAAAACATACATTAACCTCACCATACAATAGGCTTACGGTGATTTGAAGAGAGAAGACATTACACATGTTTTATACATAAAAGATTCATAAATACTTGAGAGAAAAACTGAGGGTTTGAAAATGTTCCCACGGACAGTTACCCAAAGGTAGCATGAAGACTGTGCCCCACATAGCCTCTGAGTAAACAAATTAAAGAGGTTAACATTTGAAAAGTGTTTCACTTGCCTGATTACTGTTTATATTTAGTTAAATTTCCCTTACCTTGAGCCCATTGAAACATATGCAATTTTTAAACAAGATGTTAATGGACGTCAGGTGCACAGAATTGGAATAATCATTTCTAATTAGAAAATAAATATCATTCAATTGCAGAAAAAATATACATCAAATATATACCGTATATGTGTATGTCTCGTGTGCACATATTATGTATATTTATATATATGTACACGTCTCGTGTATATGTGTTTGTGTATACATATGCACTCCCATGTGCGTACACACACATACTCAGGTACATCTCTGAGTTGCTTGCATACTTTCCTGCCTATACCAGGCAGAGCATATAATTTTATGCTGTTGATTTATAAGTTCTGATTGGAGGCAATCTGGTGAAGGATAGATGAACTGAACTGGGAATTAAAAATTAAAAATTCTGCATTCTAATTCACATCACTTCTATGTAATTACCCGAGTCTCAATTTCTCCAAAATTCATTATGGCTCCAGAATCCTAAATGTAATTTTTCAACTCTCTAAAGCATTTTTCAAAACAAAAATTTATTTTGAGTTATCTTCGTACTTTCTTTGTCCAAAGCAAATTTATTTAGTGTATAATTTGTATATACGTGCATAATTCCATGATTTTGATACACATTTGTATAGCCATGTAAATGCGGCCACCAGCAAGATAGAGAAAATTCTCAACACTTAAAAATACCCTTGTGTCCCTTTGCAGTCAATACCACTCTCCACAGCCCAGGTGCAGGCAACAGCCAATCTGTTTTCTTGACACTGTAGTTTTTGTTTTTGTTTTTGTTTTTGTTTTTGTTTTCGGCCAGGGCCGATTTAAACCCACCACCTCCGGCATATGGGGCCAGCACCCTACTCCTTTGAGCCACAGGCACTGCCCACACCGTAGATTATTTTTTAGAATGAAATTACATAGTATGTACTTTTCTTGTTTACAGCCGTTTTCTTTTTCATTTGTGTTGGTGAAGATGTCAGTAGTTTGTGTTTTTCATTGTTTGAATATATCAAGTTATATTTGCTTGCTCTAAGAAAACAGATACGTTCTTCTATTGTCTCGATATATTTTATGTTTTTAATCTTCTTCTATTTTTAAGATGTACTTTTTAATTATTTGGTGAATTGTATTGTAGTTTTAGTTACAGTTTGAAAATGATTATTCAAAAGAATTTCTCATTGGTTAATAATTTAACCCCTAAGAGAAAATTTGGATCTAGAGACCTAATCCTTTGAAACTATTATTACTTTTTCATAGAAGTATTGAGTGTGAGTACAGAATTCTGTCTAATAAAAGTGGTGAGTAATGTTACAAATATATAGGAATGTTGGCGTGGCTGGTGCAGCCCATTGGCAACCTAGCCCTTACATGAGAATTTCTATTCCCCTTGCTACTAAGCATGTTGCTTGCTGAAAGATCAGGGCTAAGCATGTATTGATGAATTGCTCTCAAAGAAAGAGAACTGGGCATTTTTACAGTACACAAATACCTGTACATAGAAATATGTACAAATTCAGAAAAGCCAGTTTCTATATTCCTTAGGCAGGAATTGAGAACTGGATTAGGGAAGTCTAGACTGAAATGCCCGTCAATTAGTTCAAATTTGAGGTGTGATTGTGCAGTTTTTGACAGAGTTTCAAATGTTTTCAAACTCTATA